AGGCTGGCGAAGAATAGAGTGAGAAAGCGGCGCCGCGCCGGTCCGCGTCGGTAGAAAACCGGATGCACACTTTTGCGCCTGTGCTGCACGGACCAGCGACCACCGCCGCTGCCATTAATAATCGAAGGTCCACGCGGATGGGTGGGTGGTTGGTCGGTCGGTCGGTCGGCCGGTGGTGCGGTTTACTTTCTTTGGAGCAACAATATTTAGAATCCAGCGTGATACACTTGCCCGGCTGTCAATAGGGGTACGGCACACCATGGGAAAGTCCGACTCCTCGCCGGAGATCATTTCAAGACTATTCGAGCGAATCGGCTGGAACGCCTACGGATGGGTTGGCACCCTGCCCAGCCCTGTCCGTGCATGTTCCCTTCTAGCAGGCTGCACGTACACGCGTTCGCGGAGCGTTCGCGCGCCGGACAAGCGTGTTTCTGTGGCCGTGCTTGTACTTGTATCTCCATCGGCGCTTATAATTGATGAAATGACACGGGGGTTGGAAACCACGGCCGGCGACTATCGGAGCTACGCGATCGAAAACCGCCTCGAGAAATTGCTGCGCGCCGCGGCCCATGAAACCGGGGGGTGGCGAACGAAAAAAAACGTCGACGTGTCCCGACTCTTACGTTATGGAAAAAAGTGTACCCGAAATTGGTAAACGAAACTCGAACTACTTAATAGTGACTCGCACTAATATTCGGACACGATATTGTTAGAAGAATTATTGCCCCTTTTTCAACCGACAAAATATTAATATTACGATAACATGATTAAAAAGATTTTCATTTTATATATAATTATAATGTAATTCATTCGCTCTGTCCGAGTACTTTTGCGACGTTAAATTTTCTCACGATCTTGTTTATCGCTTATTATACAAAAGAACATGTGCGATAAATAAACAATATTTATGTTTCTACTTACTTTAAGAAGTGCTTTATTATATGAGAAAACAATCGATTCGATAATACTATCATAAACAATAAAAAGGAGCAATAATTCTTCTAACAATATCGTGTCCGAATATTAACACTATGCCGTCCGGTGGCACCACGCTGGTGCCATGCAAAAACTAACTGTTGTATGCCGGTGGTACCACTTTGGTGCCATTTGAAAAGACTGAAATATAAGACTGAAATAAGACTGAACTATATTTCTTGGGTGTTAAAAGGCAGCAAACTAACTATAGCATTGTGCTTGTTTAACTAAGAATTAAGTACGAAAATTCTTGGATGACATATCTTAACCCTTTGCACTCGATTGGTGACTCTGAGGCACCACTGAAATTATTATATCACGTTCCAAGATAATTTTTATATTAACAAAGTTTAGGTTTAAAAAGTTGTTAAAAGTTGTACGAGTTGTATGAGTTACCACGAGACTCAATTTCACACGCGTAAAATGCATTTGGTCATATAAAATGGAAATACTATAAGTCAGAAAAATTATTTTTGATTTACAGTTGAAACGGCTTCGAGTGCAAAGGGTTAATTTTAGGAATTTATATTACCGCCATCTTCGAAATTTTTGTTTAAATCTAAAATTTCCAAGCTATTATGCCGGCGTCGAACAAAAGAATCATATCAAAGATCTGCGGACGGCATAGTGTTAATGCGAGTCATTTGTATTTAGTCATCGAAATAGATTTATAGGCTTGCGGACAAGAAATTCGCAAAGGTACGATCGCGATGGAAAATCCAAGAATTGTCTTTGCACAAATCTGATGCGCTTCCGGCGAACATTTTCTCGCGAATACCTCGTGACGTTCGAATAGTATTCTTCGTGTCCTCAATATTCCGAAGATCATTGACTTGTTTGCATGTCGTACTCGGAAACCCATGTTTCATCACCAGTTATGATGCGTATCATGAACGTAGAGTCACGAGCCTGGTTGCCAGGTTCGGTGCGAGATTCCAGATTGGTAGAGTGGGGGCTGGTAGTATGGAGGGGGGCGTCCCTCGCTGCCTCGCCTCGCGTGGCGGAGTCGGAGACACTCGAGAGGCAAAGGGTGTCCCTATTGTACCGCATTTCTTAGGGTAGTTTGGCAGAAACGGACAAAAGGCGAACAAGACACCATTTCTTTTAAAGTAACGAATGTCGTTCGTACGAGTTGTAATATCGTTTAGTTAACACTTCGAAGTGTAAGGAACAATAAAAATTTGCCAGAAAAACTGGTTACGAAGCTATTACATCATGGCTTCGTTTACATTTTTGTTCGGTCGAATGATTTGAAATGTAATGGCCATTTCTATGGTATTGCGTTCAATTTTTCTACTTTGAAACATTTTTCTTGATTGCAAATGGTACTTTCGCGATGAAATAAAGAGTAAATAATATTAATATTAAATAAACATGTGTACAGCTTTAAATGTACTAATTTATAAAGACAAATTGTTACGACAGACTTTCATTTGCAATAAGAAGAGAACACGCGAGTACGCGCTCTTGTTGAATGAAAAGCACAGTAATGTCTCTCTAATTGACGCTCAGATTGTACACAAGAATAGACAATTTGGGAAGAAGCGATACGATTATCCGAGCCTTGTGGTTCGTTTTTATAGTCTCGAATTGTCAACAACTGTTAGAACGAGCTGCAGGGCTCGAATAATCGTATCTCTTCTTCCCAAATTGTCCATTTTTCTGCACAATCTCAGCGACAATTAGGGAGATATTACTGTATATACAATAGCGACACCCTCTAGCTAGCCGAGTGACTCCGAGTGGCTCCGACCACTTCGCACGAGGCGAGGCAGTGAGCCCCCACTCTACTATTCTGGAATCTCGCATAAAAACCTGGCAACCTAAGTCACGAGAAATTGGTATAAGAAATATCGTTAGAAATGTAAAATTTAAAATAAATTCCACTGCAATTATCGCAGAAACACATTTGCGATCGACTGACATATTTTTATATGACGACCATGAGGAAGCAAAGTCCGTTGTTGAACCGGACTGTCCTCGCGTTCGGATAATCGTTACGATATTTTACGAAGAAGAACTTTCGTTTTCGTTGGATAAACAATGCCTTTTATGGACGATAAGAGCAAAGCTATTCCGCTCGGCCGAAGAACTTCAAGAAAGAACCGACGCAAAGTTTCGCTGTCAGGGAATTCTATGCAGTAATACGGTCCCCGAGCAATAATACTGTCTTGTCACGAATTTGTACAACACCGTGTGCATACGATACAGGAACAAACGCTGACCACAAGCGGCGCAATTGTTAGACTCCAAGTTCCCTCGTCACCGTGCGTCGTTAAGTATCTCAAAATATAAAAATCCACGAGCCCCGATCGAGTTGAGCCTGGCCAGAAAAGCGATCCATTGTGAACCGTCACGCAGCATGATTTTCACAATGACAAGCTACATCCTAATCCACAATCGATACAATGGGTGTACACACAGGATGTCTCGAGGTAAATGCAACTTTAGCAGAAACGTGATTAGTGCAACCTGCGGCAAACTTGTTGCGTTTCGATATTCTTTCCTTTCGCATTCTTTCCGATTTTTTACGGATGCTGCGCCGCGTTGTTTAAACGTCGTCTACGTTGTCGATTCATTCTTTATGTCCTTTCTAATAAATCTCTGGAGAAAGTCCCTAAAGAAAGTCGAATAACTGGACTATGGATTTTATATTGGGTTGGCAACTAAGTAATTGCCGATTTGTTCAATGAAATAAAAAATTCTTTTTTACTTGGAATGAAGTTTAATCTGTAATGTATTTTCCATTTTGTTCGATGACCTTTTGCCATCTCTCCGACAACTTGAAAATTCCACGCTCGTAGAAAGTCTGATCCTTTCCGGCCAAAAACTGAGTTAAGTGAGATTTGACAGCGTCATCATCATTAAAAGTTTTACCGCGAAGGGAGTTGTCCAGGGATCGAAATAAGTGGTAATCCGATGGCGCGAGATCAGGGCTATATGTAACATCAATTCCCAACCAATATCCATCAATTTTTGCCGAGTGGACAAAGACATAATAATAATAATAATAATAATATAATATTATTAATATTTACGATTGACCAATTCTGGTCGCTTTTCCTTGACCGCTGCATTCAATTTGTCCAGTTGCTAACATTCACGGATAATAAAAAATAACATAATAATAATAATAATAATAATAATAATTTTATAATATAACATTTACGGATATCATAAAAATGGGAGTGAGTGACATCTATAACTGAAATCAGCAATTACTTAGTTGCCAACCCAATACATCACTCAAATGCAAAGTAGTGAAAACATTTGAAGAATATGGAAATATTGTTGCACTATTTTCACCTCGTTGCAAGAATAGTATTAAACCGCGTAAACTTTATAAAATCCGAAACTACGTTTCATTTTCTAAAAAAAAGGTTTTACCACGAGAAAATCGAATACTGGCAATTCTGTTTCAACGATAAAATGAAAACGAATTTCAAAATTGATTTACAATCTGGACAAATACACGGATGAAAATATTTGCGCGATGAGAAAGAATCGAAAAAAATATGTGCGTAGCTAGAGCATCTTCTAATTAATGCGAATGATTTCACATTTGCTTCGAAATCTATAATCGATTTTTACATTGTTATTTGCGATGAGTGTTAAACGATGAAGTAGAATATCAGTTTACAATGAAGAAATTTCTTTTTCCTTAAAAATTGATTCAAGAAAAAAGCAACTCAAAATATCCTACCCTTTCTGATCGATTAGTATAAAAAAAAGGTATCGTCTTACATGGCTACATAATTGTTTTCTGCCAGAAACTTCTACGCCGAACGCTAACATTATATTTCGAAAAATGTCTATCAACAATATCAATGTATACATATACACAATTATAAGATTACTACGATTTCTCGAAAAAATTCCTCGATTCGGTCCCGCTGTGTAACGCGTCGATACTTCTCCGAACCCCGCTAGAAATGAATTTGTCTCTGGTCGGCGGCCGCAACAACTGCAGAAGCCGCGGTACGTGCTTCCGGGTAATAAAGTGTTAACAAACGCGTCGACAAGGCTAACTGCACTTCGTCTTCGGGCGCAGACAAACGTAACAGATCCGCCGGTGTAGAATACTACGAGGTAGCATTGCGCGCACGGTGAATATACATCGTTCGATCCGAAGCGGCACTGGGTAGCAAGCGTGCTAGCACGAGTCGTCAGTGTCTACGACCCGGCTTTCCGATCGCTATTGACCAGTCAGCGAGTCGAAGATCCGCCGCTCGGGTACGAGGCGCGGGTAGTTACCAAAGGGAAGATGTATCTACCGGTGCCACCTAATACAAACCAACTTAGCCTTGATATAAGGATTTTCAAGCGAGTCGGAGTCGGAGTCGGAGTCGGTGCCGAGCGGAAAGAGGAAGACGCAGATACAGGTAGTCGGGAGAAAGGGAATAGTGAGAGTGCGCGGCTGGGACGAGGGCGAGGATAATAGAGCAGAGCGAGAGATATAGAGAGGAAGAGAGAGCGGGAGAGCGAGGGCGAGAGATACAGAGAGAAAGAGAGAGCGGGAGATATAGAGAGAAAGAGAGAGCGAGAAATATAGAGAGAATGAGAGAGCGAGAGAGCGGGAGAGCGAGAGCGAGAGATATAGAGAGAAAGAGAGAACGAGAGAGCGAGAGAAAGAGAGCGAGAGATATAGAGAGAAAGAGAGAGCGGGAGAGCGAGAGCGGGAGAGCGAGAGCGGGAGATATAGAGAGAAAGAGAGAGCGAGGGAGCGGGAGAGCGAGAGGTATAGAGAGAAAGAGAGAGCGAGAGGGGGGAGAGGAGGAAACATGGTGTGCAGCGCGGCAGGTAGAATCGTATCGGCAAATTGCAATCGACGACCGCCTTGTCGGCAACTCCTTGTGCCAAGAGGAAGGTGCTAGAAGGAAGATAGAGCAGGAGGGAGCCGAGAATACGGGGGCCAGAGACAGAGACAGAGGGGTTATCTACTATCCACCGAGTGATACGAATATCCGGCATTGTTTAGGTCTTCGGGGCTAAAAGTTATCGGCCGCGATCGTTCCGGGAATCGCAACCCGGTGTTTTCATTGATGCCTTCCGCTTTCCATACGCGTGGGTCGGCCGCGATCCATATATACCTGTGCACGTACCCGAAGCTGTCGGATAAGACCGGGTCAGTTCGCACACGTCCGCGGGGACGCAATAATCTTTCCCGGGCCATAAATCGTAACGGGTTTCCGCCGAAACAGCCGGCTATTATTTCGAAACAACGGCCGAACGGGATGGAAAGCAAACGGTAATTCGACGTTTTTCAATTGCAGATCGGTGCTGCAGGATATTGATATCATGACCGACGAGATTTATGACGGGGATCGTTCAATACTATCGTACATTTGCGCACGTACGGTAATCCTGTCCCTTGACCCCTTCGCGCAGAAATGCGTGTTCATTTATATACATTACAGAACTGTAAATCAATTTTTAAACTTGTTCGAAACTTTTTGTACTCGGGCGAGGCCTGGTTCCGCCGGTCGGCTCGGCCGCCTTGCGCCAGACGAGTTCGTCTCTCATCGGTCAGCATTTTTCATTCGATGACTTGTAAACAAAGTCGCGGATTGCATTTGCGCCGAGGGAAAAGTCACTTCAAACGACTTCAGAGAGGATCCCCTTATTTCCCGGAGGTAACACAATTTTGGGACATCCTGTATATCGGTGGCTGTGTAAATATCGTATGTCAAAAAACATGTTTTGAATTTCGAATTAAAATTTCAAAGCGTTAACGGGGCAATTTTTTCAGCATTTTTGTTCCTATTACCTTTATTCTTAATTTTTGGTAACAGAAGAATCGAATTTTGTTTCGATTTAGAAAAGAAATATAAATTGTACATTCATATAAATATGAATTACGAAATCATCGCGGACCTTATTCGTTGTTGTAGCGCAAACAGTTAATATTGAATTGATAGAAAAGTATTGTAGAAATTTTAAAAATCAGATTTGAGTTTCTATAGTGAAACTATCACAAATCGTTTCTGCACTGTTCTTTTTCTATTTCTGTTGTTTCTACCGCGTGTTTATTTTTACGAGAATAAAAAGCACAATTCTAAATCGATGTTCGTGTTTACGTTAGAAAGTGCAATAAAATGTAATGGATCTTCCGTTTCAAACTATACGTTGTAATCTCAGGTTTTAGGCTACACGCATGCTTCGCGAGTAACTAATTCCTGTGTGCTAAGCAGTGCGATTTCTTACAGGGAAATCCGAGATTAGATATTAGGTAATCCAATATTACGTTATCCAACAAAAACGGTTACTATGATGTAACTTACATCTAGCTGGAAGCGAATCAACTCTTCGATCGTCGCCTCGGTCAAATTGAGAATCACGCCTCGTTTCTCGGATTTAACCCTTAAATGCATGATTTTTCATTTTGAATTTTAAAAAATCGTTTTTTATAGGAATGTAGTCATAGGTTACGTAAAAAATAAATTAAAAAATCTAGGTAATAATATTGAGTATTTATTTTGAAAAAAAGTTGTATGTAGACTTTTGGCAACAATATGCGTATATTACTAAAATTATTGTAGACGTAAACAAATGGTCATGTATTTATATTATCTATTAATATAGGAATTTTCACATTATTTATGAATGAAATGCAGCAAAGCAATTGCGATTTTTGTTGTGACAGAAAGCAATTTTTAAACTTGAAAAAAGAAGATATCTCTCCAAGTAACACATTGAAGATTATCACCCACCGCATTCAAATGTCAAAAAACATCTAACTTACTCGCCAAAAGTAATGTCAAGTCTTTTATTTCACACATGGTCTATTGTCTATTGTTATCAACGTGTGTTCGGAAACGCGCATACTCGGGTTTTTGAATCAAATTAAGTGGAACTGGAATGTAGACAATTGGCAACAATATGCATTTAAGGGTTAAACATGAATTTTTGTAATATCACATTGCAGCCTCGTCGACGAATGCGTCGATGGTCGATAAACAATAGAGAATGTTTTCTAAGAGCGTTAAAATGAGTGAACGTATTCGAAAGTCTGTAATTCATGCACGACAGTGTTATAAAAAAGCGAGTGGGATTTTCGCCCCGATCAGCGTGCGCGTTCTGCCGAGCATACGTCTCATTGTTCCGACGAATCGACTTGCCATAATTGCGGTAATAAAAGTGCGGAATGATTAATGGTTCACCAATGAGATTCAAATGCTAGTAAAGTTTTTGCGCGGTCGCGCATTTCACGCGTGCGTAACTTTTAAGGATTCCCGTAACTCACTGCGCCGTCGTTCAAATTGAACCGGGGGAAAAAAGGGATTAGTATGAATCGCTTCATTAACTGTATGCATATGTTTACGAGCGCAAGGAAAACGCCATTATTCTGATGCGTTGGCAGTTAATGAAAGCGAGGGAAGCAGTGGGAGGAGTCTAGAGGGACGAGTGCCAACCTTTTGCAGTACTAACGAGACTATGCGCGGAGTATGTCTGGTTTCATAGTAAAACGAAACTGTAATTCGTTTTTACTGACTCATTAGGGAACACGGATTTCCTTGTGCGTCGTTCTTTTCCGCGTTCTAACCATTCCAGCCTCGCGGGCTCCGCCGTACTTCGGATCGGCGTTCGTACAGATGATATTTTCGATGACTGGAATCGGCTTCTCAGAAATGATACTTGACCGGATCGTAAATTTCACAACGCGGGATTCAACCTTAATTGGATCTGTGAATTTTAATCGCTGCGATTAGAATGCGATGAGATAACGTGACGAAACTTGCAAAGGACTTGACACGAATTGAATTTAAACGGTTGCTCCGCCGTATATCGACGGAGTGCTTCATAATATCTTCGACGCGTAAAACCGAACAGGAATTGCATCGAATAAGAAAAACACGAGACGATTATTTCTGAAAAAGAAGATATTATTGGTGTAACGTGTTTATCACCGTAACGTAGAGAAGATTAATTAAGCGTTCGTTGCAGAATTCTGATTTTATGGTATTCGATTTTCACAGAACGGCTCTCCGACTTTCTGTATTTGGTGATCGTCACATCGGTCTCTCCATGGAAGACCGAATTAAGGAAGCAAAACGATATCCGACGCAGTAATCGGATCCGAAATGGAAACAATCGATCCCAACACGCGCAAGAATCATCTGCAACTCATTTAAAAAAAAAGAAGAAAATAAAACGAAGACCTACTCGAATTTATTAAAAAAATCGAAATCCTGAAAGTAAAACTATAATGATATGCGTTATCGTCGTCGATAATTGTGTAGTCGATGCTTCGTACAAAATAAATAAATAATAAATAAGTAAATGTATCTCGACAGAGCGTTTCCAAATATTTTCAACGCATAAAACTGAACGGGAATTGTATACAAGAAGAAAACATGAAATAATTTTTTATCGTATTTTTTTATATCGTGTAGATCGATATATTTTTTTATATCATCGATCTAGAAAGAATTAATTAAGCGTTCGTCGAAGCATTCCGATTATAACCAATTCTGTTTTTACACGGTTCTGATTTAACACGGTCTACAAAAATAAATTCAATGTTCTTTTCACACGATTTCGTACGAATTAGTTAAAAAAGTTATTTATTTTAAATATCGATGACAATTATTTCCATTAACCGTAATTTTCTAGATACATTCTGGGAAGTACTAATTTTCAATGCATATACAATACGTACACGATGTCTCCTTTTATACGGTATTTTGTGGATATGCGTATTAACCGTTTGTGCACTCGCAAAGGGGGATAATCTTTTATCTTTTATTTATTTAGTTTATTTTATATACAGGCTGTCCCAAAAATGTCTCGCAATCCGAAAGTGGCGGGTTCCTCAGGTCATTTAAAGCAACTTTTTCCTTTACAAAAATGTTCTCCGAGGCACCGTTAACGAGTTATTAACTAAAAACAGTGACCAATGAGAGGCGACAGCTGGCGCGAGGCGGCCGAGCCAACGGCGCCAGCGGTCGAGCGGTCAAATCTCAGCTCAGGTGGCGCGAGGCGGCCGAGCCAATGAGCGGAACTGGGCTTCGCGCGTTGGTTGGCTGGGCCGCCTCGCGTCAGCCGTACTCGATTCTTATTGGTCACTGTATTTCGTTAATAACTCGTTAACGGTGCCTCGGAGATAATGTTTGTAAAGGAAGAAGTTGCTTCAAATGATCCGAGGAACCCACCATTTCCGGATTGCGAGACTTTTTTGGGACACCCTGTATATACACACATTTAAGCAGAAACTAAAAGAAAACATTGTAACAAGGGTCCCTGGAATGAGGTACTATTGTAAATATTGTATGTACAATAATAAAATGGCGACTGATATGACGACATACGAGCGCAACGATAAAACGCATAATATCGCCTGCACGGCGACGCACGAGTGGAAAGGGTTAATAGAAATCGATCG